ACCAAACACCCTTCACAGTTGCCCAAGTCTGCCCTACCACATATTAAAAACTATGATTGGTAGCTGTTTTTCTTGTCAGCAGCCCGTGAACTGTCCCATCTTCAACCTATAAGGACAACAGTAGTCATCTTGTCACTGAAGCATAATAGGGGTTAGGCGTTGGGGCAGTGAGATTTATGCCAGCCTACTTTCCCACCAGTTCAAAGATTGGACAAATGCATTTTAACAATCATGAGGAGAAATTCTTGAACTGGAGAAACTGAAGAAGCTCATGAGATATTTTTGAGACATCACTGTTTTGATTATGTGCCAAGTTGTTCTCAACTCTTAGTGACCACATAGATGTTTCCATGACAATCTGTCCTTAACCTGGACTTTCAGATCTTCAAATGGTGTATTCATCACCACTATCACTGAGTCCACCCATCTTGCTGCTGGTCATCCTCTTCTTCTCTATCCTTCCACCTTTCCTAGCATCAGAGCCTTCTCCAGGGAATTAGATCTTCACATAATGTGTTATGTGAAGTAGAATAATCTGAGTGAGAACTCTGGGTTGATTTGTTCAATGATCCATTTGTTTATTTTCATGACTATCCACATACAAGTTTAATAAATAATAATAATAAGCATAATTATCAGGAGTCTTCTCCAACACCAAAGTTCAAAAATGTCAATACTCTTTCTATCCTGCTTCTTCAAAGTCTAACCTTCACTTCCACAGAGTGCCACAGGGAATACCATGGCTTATACGATTCTGATCTCTGTAGGTATAGACACATCATGGGATTTGAACATCTTCTCCAATGCCTTCACGGTTGCTCTATTCTGTGGTGTATGTATTGACTGCTGGTTCCTTTACTGCTGATGGTTCATCCTAAAAGGCAGAAGCTATCCACCACTTCAGTATCTTCATTGGCAATTCTAAGGCTGGTTGTTCTACCTGTTGTCATTAATTTGGTCTTCTGTATATTTAATTTTAGTCCCATTTTTCTACTGTCGTTCTTGACTTTTATTACTAGAGCTTGCAGATCCTTTGCATTTTCAGATATCAGGGTAGTGTCATCAGCATAGTGCTGATTGCTATTGCAAGACTAAAAATGTAACCATACTCTTACAATTCTCAACTCCTTTGCCAAATTTAAGATAGCAATTAGGATACTACCAATTGTGCTAAAAATGCTATTCACTAATGCAAGGTTTTCTTGATTGGATTAACTCGCAGATATATTTTCATGTCTTTAATAAAATTGCAATGACTTTTTCTCTTCCAAAATGGGAACGCAGTTCCTGAACAATCTATAACTATTTACAGGCTGCAAAGTCAATCTGATTGTGCTGGTCCCATTTAAGCAAATAACTGGTTAAAAAAATATTAGAATCCAAATCAACATCCCTATCATCCAAGAATGATGACTCCTATATCTGAGGAGCTTGAAGCGCCAAACATCTGACCGCTACTTAAGCCAGCCGTTTCCAGTTATGCGGAAAGGAGATGACTACCGCAACAAAGCCAGATTTGAACCTCGGGGCCTGATCAAATGTTAACTCTACGAGCTTCAGCTGGCTAAACTAGTGAATGCGTTGGCCGAGGACCGGGCGAGAGGGTTTGAGACGAGGAAAGGGCACCACCGGCGTATCCCCGCCTCCCTTCCGCCGCGGCCCGGCCTTCCTCGCCCGGCGCCCCAGATTCCAGGCCACGCCCCGTCCTCACCCGCCTTCGGCCGATGGAAGCCCATGATGCGATTGATCCGCTCCTCCGAGTTCATCAGGAGCTTTCGCCGGCGAATCTCGGCCCGCCGCTGAGAGGCGGGGAGTCCGGTCAGCGGGGGAGAAGAGCCCGCGACTCCGCCGACTCCCTCGTGCCGGCTGATACCGCACCCCTCTCCTTCCACAGGATCCGGCTCCATGATCCGTCGCTCTCTGAGAGAGCCGCTACCACCTCAAGACTTTCTCTCCTCTGGTACACAATGGAAATAACCAGGCCCCTCTCCAACAGCCGTCCTCTAACGCGCAAGCGCCACCGACGCCATTTTAGGCACCGCCTTCAGACGTTGAAACGAGCGATGCCATCTTGGATGAGGTCTGCCCTCTTTCAGCGCGAGAGCGGCAGTGCGGTTGACGGCGGCAGACTTAACATTGTCCAGAAGCTGCCGACCCTAGCAAAGATGGCAGAAATGACTTCAGGGGGTGGAGCTCGTGTAAAGGGGTGGAGTTGACTTATGACCTCATCGGTTAAGGAAGTCATAATCGCCTCTATTACTCCGCGGATTTCAGTTGGCAACCAGCTGAGGGCGGGAGATGATGGCTTATCCCCGAAATAATAATGCAAGGAAGTACCAACGTTTAGGTTATTATTTTCCATTCTAATCCCAAAACATTTGCAAGATTGGGACAATAGTGCCTCCAAGCTAAAGTCAAACCACAAAGTGTCTTCCAAATACTGTATAGGTGGTTTTCTTTAAAAAGATGAAGTGCTATATATTCTTTGGCCAGGTAATCAATATTAAAGGCCTTTTTTAACTTAATAAGACAACATGGATAGATATTAGGGAGAGTTTTTTGATAATGGCAACCCAATTACTAGGCAAGGTTCTTGTTTTCCTAGCCTTCTGTTTGTATATATTTATTTTAATTTGGGCACCAATCATTATTTTGCTCTATCATTTTATATTGAGCTTATCTTATTGTGATTTTGTGCTAGGCTTGTTTTCTATTAGTTTTTTAAATGGTTTTAGATTTATTTGGGGTAATTAGTCATATTTTTACTGAATTATAAGTTTTGCAAATAACAGCTGATGGAGTTTAAATAAAAATGCCACAAATGATTTATTATTTATCTTGTCTGCTACAAATCAGATGGATATATAGGCATGGTTTGGGACAGATAAAAAATAGCGAGGCTATGGAAAACTTAGTTGAGGAAGTAGAAGCAGGAACGTTGGGGGAAAGTGAGGATATAGTGCTGGAACTCTTGATTTTAAGGGGAAATAAAACTGAGCGTAGTCAAACATGTTATCTAAGATTTTAATAAATTCAGCAATAATGGGATCCCATGTCAGGAGGAGCTAATGGGAAAAAGCTCACGGCCTAGAAGAAGGGATTTTAAAAGTACCGATTTTAAAACAATTTCAAAGAGAAAAAAATGGGAGGGCAGTGAAAGAAGTTAGTGGGGCTAATGAAGACAAAGAAGAAAAAGACACAAATTGGAAAAGTAAACAATGTTTGGACCATGGGCATCTGGGTGTGTCACAACTTAATTTCTGCTCCTTTTGTCCTTACATCAGGACACTGCATGAAAATATGGAAGGGGCAGAGTTACATCATGACATATGTTTCATTATTTTGACAAAATCTCTGCTTGCTACAAAGACCACTGTCCAGATCACTAAGGAAGTCAGGTAACCCAGAACTGTAGAATCAGTGTCCAAAAAGTCAAGTTTCAGAATGAGCTGAGGTGAGGAAAAGATGCACAGAATAACAAAAAAGGCTTCTTGCTTTCAAAATAAAATAATCACTATAGCAGCTGCTCAATAAAGAAGCCCAACTCCTGCTTTGGATCGGACTTCAACAAAAAATTTTGTTCCACCAAGAAACTGAAAGGCAGGATTGAAGCTTGAATTCAACATAAAGAGGATCCAGAGAAACTTCTATGTTTTTAATTAGTTTAAATATTCAGGATCAGATGTATTGCATCCTACAGTACTGAAGGACAGTAACTACAGTCTGGATGAACTCTTACATACTGTTGGGGGGATATCTGGAAATTAGTAAAGTGCCAGATGGCTGAAGAAGAGCAAACATTGCCCTGTCTTTTTTTTAAAAAAAATCAGACTCTGAACTATTCCAACACTGAGATTCTAGATCATAAAAAGCTAATGTTGTAATTGCCAGATGCTAGCATGGATTTGATAAAAACAAATTCTGCTTGTCTATGTTTATCTATTTCAATCTGGCAACTTAATAGATTATGGGAATGCTGTTGACAAAAATATGCCTTCAGTTCAAGGAATTTTTTGATAAAGAATCCCACATCATGCCAACTGGCAAGCTAGTTAAGAGTGGGCTTCATGGCATGACAATCCTGTGGATACATAGCTGGCTTGAAAATTGTACTCAGAAAATGCTCATTAATGCTTTTTCCTCAGATTTGAGGTATCAGGTGGAATACCACTAGGATCAGTTCTGGGTCTTCTAATTTTCATTAATGATTTGGTTTAAAAGATCAGTGTAGAACCCTCTCTTTTAAGGCCAAGTATAGTACTTTGAGTGGTATATTAGAAGTTACAGTCCAAAAATATAAGATAGGACAAGAGCAAAATTAATGATTTGATTTACATTTTATTCAAATATAGTTAATATTACTTCTCCAGTTGTCACATTAAAGGTTAGAATTTGGTAATGACTTTTGGAGACTCAAAGAGCTGCACATGAAGGCTTTCATGGGGAACATGCAGCCCTAGGGTTTGTGTGTTATATCTCTGCCCTACATCTTCATGCCAAAGGTATGTTATACTAACTGAACAGTATTTTCTGCTAATAGAGGGTGGTCTTACAAATTCTGGTGGTTTCCCATCCACTGCTACTTTTCATATTCACCTCCTACCATTCCAGAACTATCTTCAACCTTCAGTACTATCTTTGGGGAGAACACAAAGGATTATAGGGGAAGAAAAACAAGGATATCCTATTGCATTTGTAGCATTCACCCTGTTCTTCACTAAACTCAATTCACCTATGTTCAATTACTTCTTTTCAGCAAGTTTGCAACCTCAATAACATAGGTCTAAATTTTAATTTTTGCTTTCTGTTCCATTGTTCCTTGACCTAAATGCTTTCTCTCTTGTGTATGTAGTATGTTTTCTGAAGGCTGGGGGGGGGGTAGTAATAATCTATCACAATTTTGAGACTAATAGTTGTACCAAGACCTTTAATTATAAGCTTTCTACCAAGTGTATCTTTGCAGAAGACTGCAGGGACTTGGTAAGGAAAGAAAAAAAATACAGATAATATACTGTATATAACTGATAAATGAATAAAGAAAAGCAGACTTCTACAAGCCAAATTAAATTGTTTATAATTTCATAGATATGTCTTGACAACAAGAAGGAAGTGATTTGCCACTGCTTTTTTGTGAGATGTCTTTTCAACTCCCCAATCTAGCTTTAAGCCCTTGTTTTCCCTGAAAGTTCCGCATCCAATTCTAATCAGGCTCAGATCTGCTTGGCTTCCCAACCCAGTCAAGGTTAGCTAAATGCTTTCGCTGCTTGACAATATCTATAATATTTTGCTTATAATCAAGTGTGTATCCTGGATACAGGACAAAATTATTTAAATAATTATTATTGAGCTATTATTATATGCAGTCTAAAGAAAAGAAAAAGCTGGCTATTATCTTTGCCAAAGAAATACAAAGAAAGTGAAATACTTATAGAAATGTTAACCTTTCATGAAAAAAGAATTCTGAGCTAATTTAACAAGATGCCATACTATTCCAGATAGATAACTGAAGTTTTTAATCCATTTCCCAAAGTTTTTATTTACATGGCTATACTGCTTAGAATTGTGGACAGGTTGACATAATTTTTTCCAATGTGCTTTACCCCTAAGAAGATAGAAGAGCCTAATATAATTATTCAAATAGAAAATAATACATTGTTTAATCTGTTGAAAGTTGATTGAGTATTCTCAACTCTCAGAGGATCTTTCTAATTAATGGTCAGACTATCATGTTTTAGTCAGTGACCTACTTTACAGTACAACTCTGCGTGTTTACTCAAAGTAATTGCTGAATTCATTTGTCTTATTCAAAATACAGGAATAAGATGACCACATTAGAAGAATGAATAGTACTTGCTCATGGTAAAAATACATTAAAATGCTTGTATTTCAATCAATTCACAATTTGCACAGTATATAATTAGCATTAATCACCATCTAATTACTCATAGAAGCACCTCTTTATGTACTGAAAATCGTTTTATCCATGAAATGGTCAGATAGTCTCTGCATGTTTCATCTTTGTTTATAAAAAGACTGATTGAAATTCTATGCAAGCTCTTTCAATTGATTTTATTGAGTAGCCAAATTTGATAAATTAGCACAGCTAAAATAAGCATTTGCATGTGTTACAAATGACTTTTTACAGGAATAAAACAGTGAAAATTACAAACTGTAAAAAGGGGAACAAGTAAAACCTTGCCTTCAAGTCAGAAGAGCAAGGTTTACAATTGCACACTAAAGATCAATGTCTGAGTTCAGAAAACAAGGATTAATATTACAATATTTTACACTACTTTACAAAATCAAATTTACTGTAAGAATTTAATATGTAGTTAGTGAAGAGAAGTCTTGTCACATTTGATGGTCCCTTAATATTCTGAATTATATATATTCTGTTAAATTAACCTTGAATAAACAAGCATTTCCGCATTATTGCAAAACAATCAGAATTTATTCAAATGTAAATTAAGTTACAGAAAAGTAAATGCTAATATGTTGTTGCATGATCAAATCTAGAATATTGGTAAATCATACTAATTATTATTTAAAATCTTGAACTAGAAAAATAGAGAACATCTGCTGGTGACTGCCATGCTGAGATGGGAGCATCAAGGCTACTCTTGCTTACTTACGTTGTTAAAGAACCTAAAACATAGAAATTGTGATTTAACATTTATACATGGGTCTGCCCTGCAATTCTTAAGAAGGTGAAGCGGATGTCATTTTTCTCCTCACAGAATTAGAAAATTCAATTCTATTTCAAAGTGCATGAACATTCCAAACAGCATTCTATCCAGAGAGCACAATATGCTCACAGTTAACATTTTTTAAAGTTAGTTAGGGGTGTATTCTTGAAATAAGTTTATCGCGTTCCCTGATTTATTCAAAACCTATTATTTCTGGTTTGCATGAAGTAAAGCTATGCCTACAACATGCCTTTCCCTCCTGTCCATGCAGAAGATTTTTACATACAGAAGCTAGGCGTGGTGCTGCTCATAAGGGATTTACCATTCAAATTCTACAGAATGTGATCACACCAATTCTCTGCTCCAGCTTGAATGCCTGAAGCAAGAAGGAACACACAGCCCGCATGAGGTGCTGGATACATACTTCTCTTTGCCTGTTCCTTCTTTCCAGAAAGCTGGCCTACACACAGACGTTTGTGTACATTTTTTGCAGAAGAGTTGATTTATCATCAGGCATATAATGCATTTTAAAGCACCCAACTGATTTCCACTGCTTGCAAGTGCATATCTCATCATGATTATTTGGTTCTGAAACAGATTACCATTATTTAA